CATTGCGATACACACCGGGGGTGTTTCTCAATGTTGAGGACGCTTGCTTGGTAGCACATGTCTTCCGAGTCACTTGCTTCAGAAGCGAGGCAGGAATCCTTCCTAGACTCGGAAAACGGATATTTGTGGAACAGCCTAACAGTTGTGCAGATGCGCATCATATGCGAGGCCCCGCCTTAAATGGAGCGCGATTTCCGCCAAAGATTTGGAAATTGGTCCGTGCGCAAAGCATTGTGGGGATTTTAAGACTGCGGAGTCTACACATGTACAGCAAAAAGTATTTCCGGGCCGAGCGACTGATACGGAAGTGTAGTACCGCCGTTTGGCCACAACGAATATTTTCCTCAGAGTCCGGCGCACTTCCTGGGGGCTTGATACACACTCACTGAACTGATTACCCAAGATCCTCAGCTATGGTTTAAGCTCGGTGATTGGATTTTTTAGCCGCAATGCACGTTGGGATATGGTGTTAATGCGATATGAAATCCGAAAAACATTTCGGAGTTTAGGATGGCCGAAGACACTACACTACCCATAATCCCCAGCTATTGTTTGGGACTGCAAACCCCGTGATTAATCTTCAAGCTCTGGGATTGGATGTTGGAGTGGCAGTGCGCCAAGGTTACGTCGAGTGTCAAACAGCTCTTTGAAATCGAAATACTGCACTACACTCTCCGTTTTGCTATCCTGGCGGTCGGACATCCGACGCTTTAGTACCTGAAATAAGTGATACGGCGGGCAGCTGGTGTTAGAGGCCACGCTGTTAGCTGCCCCTCTAAACAGATACGGTGATCTTGCGTTTATATTCTGGGGGGTTTACTCCTGAAGGTAGGACGGCCGTTTTCCGGAGCCTTATCAGCATCGGAGCTCGGTATCGGAGACGACCTAGATATTAACATTGGTTGTATCGAAGTTAGATTCCTTTTCAACATATACAACTTAAAATAAATTACTACAGCTATAAGGTACCCCTTAAGGCAAGACATTATCCCTCCACTATTGTGTTATGATAATTGAAATCAATCATAGAATTATGTATTCTCACATTACTTGTTGCATTTATTACATTTTAAATTGAACAGCCAAGTTCTAAGCTTTTGTTTGGTGTTCAGGTAAGTCTACTCGACTTTAACTAGCCTCAGGCCCAATACAATAAATGCATGACACACATAAGACTTTATATAGGAAGTTGACATAGTCATCTTTTTTGGATAGCATTTTGAAAACCAAAATATATCAACTCACGATCATGAACTGAAAAACACATGAAAGACGAAAACAAGGACAAATGTATGGAAGTGACCCGTCAATATAAAATGTAAATGCTGCCAAATATATAGATATAAGCATATTGTTGTGATGCATACCTGTGTAAAGACGCCAGCAGCATCAGTCGGGATTAACATGCTTATTTAACTGATTTTTTGGGGGAAATACAGCACGGGTCTTTTTACTTGTTTGATTAAACCTCTTCTTAGGGCTGGATGGTCGTGTACATATCCCTCACTTTCCTGTTATTTTTTTTAACAGTCTGCAGCTTTACACAACATTTATATGTCTGGCCAATCATGAGGCAACAAGTACTGTTTAATTATAACTTGATTAAACTCCATATAGTGTTTTCTGACCCCTCCTCAGTCCTTCAGATGTTTGTGGAGTCGGTTTAGGGCGTCTTCTACAATGTCCAGCTCATGTCGGATGTCTTTCACCATGCTGTTGATGCTGTTGGTGTCCTTCAGGACGTCCACACTCTGGGTATAGGGGTCGTAGCGTACTGTGAATGGACGCCAAATGGTCTTAGCAAATTCCCTGCAGACACAGCAACGTTTCTCTATTAGTAACCCAGATAAATGTTTCACATCACTTTAACAGCGTCGAAATACAAAAACATTCAACAACCATATTGTTGTGTGCGGCCAATTAAAAACATTTGAAAAGTGAAATTCAGAATTCATAAATACAGTACAAGTTCCGAAAAGGGCAAAGGAAGGACTTAATAAGAAGTTACATTTAGAAATGCAACATAAACAACAATACTGTGAGTTATGTCCTTGGGGAATACACAACAAAAGGAATTGTTAAAGCTAAGTTAATGTTTTGGTATGCTAACAAAATGTTTAGGTAGGTTACAGATAGAGGAAATGCTGTTGGTAAATAAATAGTTTGACATTTGGGAAAATTCACTTATTTACTCTATTTCCAAATGTGACAATTGACAATTGATACTAATCTCATGTCTGTGTGCAAAGTATAGAGCTAGAGCCAGGAGGTAATTAGCCTAGCTTAGCATAAGCAATTTAAAGCAGACTAATTCAACTCTATGAAACATGTTACAGTGCTAGGTAATTAATTTATGCAAGATAGGTTGCCCATTGCAACTGGGATTATTTAAAATGTTGGGCGGAATTCTACTGACCTCATTTTGTTCTTGGCGTCCTCAAAACTCTCAGAAACAAAGTAAACGTCTTGGAACGTAGTTATTTTGCACTCCTGGTTACAGGTCACCACGGGGTCAAACTGAAGGATATGGGCCTTGCCAGACAAAGCATGCTGATGGAAGAAAGAGACATATTGTAGACACATTTACATATTGAGAGAATGCCGCTCCAAACCTGATCGGTCATGTAACATGGTTTTGGCTGACCGAAACATTAAAATGTGAAGTACCCCACTCAAAATTCTCCTAGTTACCATTTCCCCCCCAACACTCATTGCTGTGTATGGGCTAATGCTACAGGACTGACTGATAAGGTCAGTATTAGTTCATTCATATAAATTGAGATCATTACAAAAATAAATAAAAATACTGTTGCTGTATTAAAAATATATGGTTTTGTTATAAACCAGGAACTGTAATGTGCAAAGAAAGTGTTTTCTGGCACAAAAATTCAAGTAATTTAATTTTGTAAAGATTATGAAAGAAAGCCTAAGCAGAGCCACAGTTAGTTCAGAGTATGAGCATAAAGTGCAGTAGATGATTGTGTATTGTATCAAGCTAGACAAAGGATATCATGTGTTACCTGGAGTTCACTGATGGAGGAGAGGAGTCCAGCTCCATAGGCCCTGAGCCTGCCCTCCTGCTTACAGAGACCAAACTCCACTGTGAAGAAATAACACTAGAACAAAATAGGTTGTCATTTGGACATTATTCTATTCATCCACAGTATTAGAATGTAAGTAATAGATGTCGTTGAAAACATTTGTAAATTGAAACTTTAGGGAACTTTGAACAAACATTAATGCGATATTGAACAATGGCAAGCCATTGGCAATTATCAGTAAGCTGCTCAACAACAATCCATTTTATAAGGGATTTTGTGCTTAAATCAAACCGAGGAGACAAACACACTCATAATGTGAAACTGAGAGCTGGTTTCAATAAAATGGGGGCATTTCACTCAAATAAAAGTGTCAATGTGTAGTAGTATATATAAGTGGACAGTATACTGTATACTTCTTTGGCTTTAGTCTCCTCTTTGGTTTCTTTCGGTGGTGTGTGTTTGCATGTGTGTGCATTTGCGTGCCTGTGTGTGTTCTCACTGTGGCCAGTTTCTGAACAGCATCATCTGAAGCTCCCAGCGAAGCTAAACCAATCTCCTGAGAGAACTGGGCGAAGCTGGGCTCAGCCAGCAGAGGAACATGACCCAGCAGTTCATGGCACGTGTCTCTGCATCAAACACACATTTGAGAAGGAAAATGTAGGTAGGTGTTTACAACTCGTGATCATTGCAACAGTAGTACAAAGTGAAAGTCTTGTGCGTCTGCACATTTGTACTCACGGCTCAGGAGTGTACAAAGGGTCGGAGCTGTGACGGACATACTGAGTGCAGTGGAACACTCTGAAGGCCAGGCCCGCCAGAAAGTCTCTGGGGGAGAGGTACCCTGCTACTGGCCGAATGATGAAGCCTGAGCGCTCTGCACACACACACACACACACACACACACACACACACACACACACACACACACACACACACACACACCC